AACAGGAAAAAAAGGGCTGGGCATGGTGGCTTATATCTGTAATCTTGAGGAAGACATCAGGAGTACTGTACTTCCAAGTCAGTATGGGCAAAAAATTAGCAAAATCCCACCTCAACTTATAAGTGAGTATAATGGCATATGCCAATCATCCTAACTAGGTTGCCAAGTGCTACCTAGGATGACTATGATCCAGGCTAGACTAGATAGACACTCAAGTTATTTGAAATAACTAAAGCAAAAAGGGCTTAGAAGTATGATTCAAATGGTAGAGCATCTGCCTAGCAAGTGTGAGGTCCCAGGTTCAAATGACAGAATAAGTGAAAGGAAAGCAAGGGAAGGAGGTAAGAAGAGGGAGAAGAAGGAAGAGGAAGAGAAAGGGATGGAGGGAGAAAAAGACAAAGAGGAAGAGATTGTTTAATATGGACAAGTGACCTACCAAAGTAAAAACCAAGTCAATGAAGAAAAGAAAGTCTACACAAATACTGTTAGAACAATGGGAAAGCAATATGAAAAAAGTATTAGACAAAAAGTATTATGCAAAAATTAGCGTCAAATGGATCTTGTATCTAATTGTGAGAGCTAAAGCGACAAAACTGCAGAAGAGAAAACTTAGTGACCTCGGTCTTTACAGGCTTTTCCTAAGAACACTAACACTAAATGTAAATTCATTAAAATCAATAACTTAAAATATTTGTTTTGTAAAAATTGCCATGATGCAAAGATGACCTAAAAATTTAATTCAATCCCAACTAAGTCCCAATGAAGGTCTTTACTTAGATAAAACAATGCAAAAATTCATCTGGAACAATAAAAGACCTTGAATAACCAAAGCAATTCTAGGCAAAAAAAAAAAAAGCAATGCTTGTGGTATCATAATCTCAGACCTCAAGCTCTACTACAGAGCTATAATAATAAAAACGGCTTAGTATTAACAAAAAATAGACCCTAAAATCAATGGAACAAACTAGGAAACCCCTAGATATGTACCATATGCTTACAGTTATCTGATATTTGATAAAGAAGTCAAAGATATACAGTGGGAAAAAGATAATTGGTATTGGGAAAACTGGGCACCCATATGCAGAAAAAACTAAAAGTAGATGCCTGTTTGTCACCAGGTACAAGAATCAATTCAAAGTAAATCAAAAACCTCAATGTCAGACCTGAAACTTTGAAATTACTGCAAGAGGGAGTAGGAGAAACACTAGAACTCATAGGCATAGGCAGAAATTTTGAAGATTCCCAGGGGCACACCAGATATGAGAGAGACTTGACAAATGGGATTACATCAAAATAAAAAGTTTCTTCACAGCAAAGGACACAGGGACTAACCTAGAAAGACAGTCAACAGACTGAGAGATTTTACCAGCAATGCATCTGACAAAGGCCAGATATCCAAATTATACAAAGAGCTCAAGAAAGTAACCCCTCCCAAAGCTAATAAACCAATCATTAAATAGGCAAAGGAACTAAGGAAAGACTTTTGAGAAGAGGTAAGAATGGCAAAGAAACACTTAAAAGAAATGCTCACCATCCTGGGCCATAAAGGAAATGCAAATCAAAACAACCCTGAGATTCCATCTCACCTCAGTTAGATTGGCCAATATTTTTATTTCAAACAACAAATGTTGGCAGGGATCGGAGAAGAAGGAACCCTATTGTATTCCTACCCTACTGGTGGGAATCTAAACTAGCACAACCACTCTGGACAGCAGTCTGGAGGTTTCTCAAAAAACTAAACATAAGTCTTCCCTACAACCCAGCTATACCACTCTTAGGTATCTACCCAGAATGTCACAATCCAGGATACCATAAAGACATTTGCACATCCATGTTCATTGCTGCATTATTCACAATAGCCAAGTTGTGGAAACAGCCCAAATAGATGAGTGGATCCAAAAAATGTGATAGCTATACACAATGGAATTTAATACAGCCATTAGAAAGAATATTATGTCATTTACAGGGAAATAGATGGACCTAGAAAAAATCATGTTAAATGAGGTAAGCCAAGCTCAGGACCAATGGCACATGTTTTCTCTCACATGCAGAAACTAGATTTAAAATACATTGGGACATGATAAATTATACAAGACTCTAGGCATTCACACACTCATGAAACCAAAGGAAGATGTTCTTAGGAGAGGAACACAAAGGCACAATGCATAGGTACATGTGATCACATAAAATAATATTTATTGAAATGAACTCCAAGAAATGGAAACAAGATTTTTCTTTCTTACTGTTTTTGTTTTCTTTTTGTCTTGTCTTTGGGAGGGAAAGGGGAGCACAGAAATGGAGGGACAAGGGGTGAACCAATGCAGCAGTAGTACTCACTAGATACTATGTTGAAAATAAACTATTTAACTGTAGATGGGGACAGAAGGGAAAAATTGGGAGGGAGCAAGGGAAAGAGTGACAAAAAGAAATGTACTCTTTACTGACTTATGTAACTGTAACCACTCGATACATCACCTTTAATAATAACAACAAAAAATAACATAAATAAAAGCCAATAAAAATGCTGTCAAGAAAATATGCACATATTTGTTATGTGCATTTGTATATGCACGCCACAGACTGGAAAAAATACTGAAAACAAATATCTGGCAGAATTTAAATTACAAAATCTTATACAACTTGATATGTAATTCAATAATATGTATTCAGATATATCACCAAAGAAGATGCATATATGACAAAGAAACACATGAATATATGTCCAAAATTATTAGCCATTAGGAAAAGGGCAAATTAAAACCATAATGTATACCTAAATGTTAGTATACATACTAAATGTTAGTGAGGATATGTAATTATTGAGTAACTCACACTGCTGGTGCAAATATAAAACAAAATAGAACAGTCACATAGAAAAACAGTTTATTGGTTTCTCCAAAAGTGGAATGTATATCATATGAATTAGACATTTTATTCCTGTGAATCCAAAAGAAAGAAAAGCATATGTCCACATACAGACTTACACAGGAATGTTCTAGCAGCTTTATTTGTTATAGCTCCAAACTAGAAACAATCTAAATGTTATGTGTATAGCTATACAATGGAAGAATTAGTCAGTTATAGCAAAAATGAGTTATTTACATGTGACAACAGGAATCTCAATATGTTGAACAAAAGTAGTCTGGCATATTGTTTCTTTAAAGATTTTAGGAAATCTGAACAAATTGTTATGACAGAAATCAAATTACAACAGTTGATTGGTAGATGAGTGAGATTACTGAAAAGCATGAGTAGAATGAGAGTTCAGAATGAAAATACTATTTTGACTGTGGTAATAGCTATAAGGCATGTATAAGTGTCAATACTTACCAAAAAATCAACAAACAAATAGGTGAATTTTTACTATGTATGTCAATTGTACCTTAAATGATTAAGTTTATATTTAAGAATCTCCAAATCATTATACCTCTATTAAGAATATTATAATATATACTAAAATAAATTATAAACTAAAGTGTTTTCAATGGTGCTACTAAAATTCTTCTAATGACATGAGGAAATGCTTATAATATATAATTAACTATAAATATAAAACATATAAAACTATACATATTTATAATCTTAACCCAGAAATATAAGCTTGGAAAGCTTATGTAACAAACATGATAAATTTATGGTTGGAAACAGCTCTATATTATTATTTTTCCCTGGGATCATGAGTGATTTAATTTTTTTCAAACTTTTCTTAAGGTTTTTTAAATTGTTGTTGTGTTGCTTTATAACTTTCATTTTATCTCAGCTTACAAAAATTTTTTATGAGCAAGAATTTTTCTTTTAGGTAAAGCAAAATTTGAGTAATATCTATCCCAACAAGTGATTCCAGCTTATACACTACAGGTCTTGGACAGATAGCGACTGAGAATTCATATACAAACCAAACACTTGTAGATTTAATAATCCATTTCATACATGAATGAACATCCTCCAATTTTCACAGATATATTGAAATATAACCATACTGAATTGGTAGAACCTTTTGGTTTTTGCATCAATGGATAATAAAAGTAAAAATAGTAGCAGATGCTTTCAAACACATTCTTCATACTTACAAGGTATAGACTGATTTGATAGTTTCCTGCTACCATACCAGTATGTAAGAGCTAAGCAATGTACTTAGTATTCAATTAATAGGAGTTCTGTAATATGCTCCTATTTCTTTGTTATGACTTTTCATTATGTTCTAACCCACCCTTTTTTCTGAGCCATTGTCAAAATTGTGTGTTGTGCTTGCTTATTCTGTTCATATTCTACAGTTACAAAAAGTAAATTAAACAAATACCAAAATTAATGTGCTCAGTACACCAAAGGACCTTATACAGTATTTCAGGCTGAGTACTGGTATAATCCTAACTAGAAGACTGAGATCTGAGGATCAAGGTTCAAAGCTATCCTGGACAGGAAAGTCTATATGACATTTATCTCCAACTAACCACCAAAAAGCTGGAAATGTAGCTGTGGCTCAAATAATAGAGCACTAACCTTGAGAAAGAGAGAGAGAGAGAGAGAGAGAGAGAGAGAAGAGAAAAGCTAAGGGACAGTGCCTAAGCCCTGAGTTCCAGATCCTGAGTTCCAGCCCCAGTTTCTAGGAGGAGAGGGGGGGAGAAGAGTATTTCAAGCCAGATGTGATGACTCAAGGTTATAATCCCAGCACTCAGGAAGTTGAAGATTATGAGCACAATGTCAGTTTGAGCTACATAAAATGCTGTCGCAAAAAAAAAAGAAAGCTATTTCAGTTAAATTTGATCTGCAAATATAAGAATAATATTACTAAAGATTATACTAGTCATCTAGTGTTATGACTTCTTAATTGTGTCCTTGCCAGTCTATTATTAATCTTGGGGGAACTATTTCATATGTTGAAGTTTCTACAACTACTCCTTAATAATTCTCTCAGAAATAAAACAAATAATAAAATACTAACAAAAAAGCAAAACTACAACTTACAGTAAACTTAGTTATTTATCGGTAATTTAGTTTACCTCAAAGAATTATTCTCTGCTTTTTGTCTTCCAAGTTCACTTTCAGTGTCCATTGCTTTTCTTGCTAGTGATTTCATTTCTTTTTCCACAGTGGTTATGGTTTCCTTCATCAAAGTCATATTTGACATTTGCTCCATACGTTCATCATCAAGCTACACAAGTAGAATGACAAGGTAGGTTACTGCCATCACTAAAAAAGCCTCAGTAGTCTTTCTTCAGAGACACATTCCCTCTGTACAAACTGTGGTTTCTGGCAAATTGTGAATAACGAGATGATCAAGTTAGACATGAATGATGCAGGAGGATGCAAGGGTAAGGGTAAGAACAGAATAGAGACAAAAACAGGCTATTGCACAGCTTTTCTAAAGGTTTATAATAGTATATTTGTCTACATTTTTCATTCTGGTTCATTTTGAGTATATATACAATATTCTACTTACAAATGATTTCTTGCTATCAAACATTAATAAGTTATACATAAAGTAGAATTATAAAAATAATTGGTTTTCTTCTATCATTTTTCACTTATAACTAAATACTATAAATAGGTTTATAAGTCCATGTAATTCAACCTGACAACAGGAAACAAAATTCTCTTGATTCTATTTATATAGTCATATCATCTCAAATATATATTCATGGGGGCTGGGAAGGTGGCTCAGTGGTAGAGCGCTTGCCTTGCATGCATGAGGCCCTGGGTTCGATTCCTCAGCACCACATAAGCAAAAAGAAAAAACCCAGAAGTGGCACTGTGGCTCAAGTGGTAGAGCCCTAGCCTTGAGCTGAAGAGCTGAGGGACAGCGCCCAGGCCCAGAGTTCAGGCCCCACGACCGGACCCAAAAAAAAAAAAAAAAATTAAAGAGCTTGTGACTTTAACTAAGTACCACTATCCCACATACTATGAAATTTATGTAATTATTAATCTCAATAAAAAATTTAAATAAAAAAAGTAAAAAATATATTAAAGGGCCAGGCACCAGTGGCCCCCAGTAATCCTAATCCTAGCTACTCAAGAGGTTAGGATCTGAGGACCTGGTTTGACGTCATATGTGGCAGGAAAATCCCTAAGACTCTTATCACCAATAAACTTTTTCTTTTTTTGGTCCGGTCATGGGGCCTGAACTCTGGGCCTGGGCGCTGTCCCTCAGCTCTTCAGCTCAAGGCTAGGGCTCTACCACTTGAGCCACAGCGCCACTTCCAGCTTTTTTCTTTTTGCTTATGTGGTGCTGAGGAATCGAACCCAGGGCCTCATGCATGCAAGGCAAGCCACCTTCCCAGCCCTAAACTATTTTTTTTAAGCTAGAAGTAGATTTATGGTTCAAGTCTTGAGCAAAAATGCTCAGGGACAGCGTTTTGGCCCTGAGTTCAAGCCCCAGGACTAAAACAAAACTTTTTTTAATTAAAGAAGAATCAGGTGTTGCATGATACATGCTGATAATCCCAGCAAACAGGTTAAGGCAAGATCTCAATTAACCTGGGCTATAGAGAGATAGTTTCAAAGAGAAAAAGACAAATAAATAAAAGAAGGAGGAAGGGGAAAGAGAAGAGTGGAATGGAAAGGAAAGAAGGAAGGAAGGAAGGAAGGAAGAAAGGAAGGAAGGAAGGAAGGAAAGGCAGGCAGGAAGGAAGGCAGGCAGGAAGGCAGGAAGGCAGGAAGGCAGGAAGGCAGGCAGGCAGGCAGGCAGGCAGGCAGGCAGGCAGATGGGAAAAAAGGAAATGTACTCATTACCTGACTTATATAACTGCAACCCCTCTGGACATCACCTTTGCAATAAAATTTTAAGAATTTGCCAGGTGCTGGTGGCTCACACCTGTAATCCTAGCTTCTCCGGAGGCTGAGATCTGAGGATTGTGGTTCAAAGCCAGCCCAGGCAGGAAAGTCCATGAGACTCTTATCTCCAAATAACCACCAGAAAACTGGTGAGCTGAAGAGCTCAGGAACAGTGCCCAAACCCAGAATTCAAACCCTACGACCGACCAAAAAAAAATTAATAATTAAAAAAATAGCCCTCCCTGAGAATCATCTTAATGGTTTCTAGAAAAGAACACACTTCACAACCTAACACACAAAAAAACCTTACATTTTCGAAGGAAATATTAAGCATAAATGCCATCTTAAATGTTTTAAGAATAAAAACACTATCATAGAAAAATGAATTTCTCTGAATACAGAAAAAGGGGAGAAAAAGTTATTGAGAGTTTATAGCCAAAAGTGATGTTTACGTTATGAACTGTACACTCCAGCTCCTCTATCCTTTGTTCCAAGTGAGCCTTCTCATTAAATGCTGTTTCTTGAGCAATCTATTTAAAGAAAAACAAAATACAGTTCTTTCAGTGTCATGGCAGCATGTTTCACATTAAAAAGAAAGGTGTGACAGATAAAATTCTTTCATACCTTTAGCCTTTCCCTCAGACTATCTCTCTCTGTAGTCATTCTTCTTAAATCGGTAAAGGCTACATCTCTCTCCGTTTCCACTCGTCGAAGAATAGCATGAGCTGTTGTTGATTTAGGAGATTTACAGGTTTTCATCATTTCTCGCCGAAGTCTGGCAATTTCTTCTTGTGCCTATAATTTCAAGACACAGGGTTTAAAATTTTATTAGCATAAATTGTACAAATGGGTTTCATTCTGATTTTTATAACATGCATATATAATGTGCTTTTATCAAATTCATTCCATTTCTTTTTTTTTTTTTTTGTCGGTAGTGGGGGCTGAACTCTGGGTGCTCTTCAGCTCAAGGCTAGCGCTCTACCACTTGAGCCACAGCGCCACTTCCGGCTTTTTCTGTTTATGTGGTGCTGAGGAATTGAACCCAGGGCCTCATGCATGCAAGACAAGCACTCTACACTGAGCAACGTTCTCAGCACCTAGCTTTTTATTTTTAAGACAAGGTCTCACAATGTAGCACACACTGGCCTCAAACTTGTGATCCTCCTAACTCAAGTACTAGGATTACAGAAGTACATTACCACACCAGACTAAATATATTTAAATAAAAGTTTTCTTTATTAGCTTCTTTGGTAAGCTTTGCTTAATTGGAAGGAAATCACTGCAAAAGGGAATGTTTTGCTAAGAAATATTGATGAACTCCATCTATCCATTTTGTGGCATAAATTTTATTTCAACTCAGAATAGTGGTTTAATTAACATTACCATATATCTATGTTCTCTAAGTATTTATGCTGTTTTTATAAACTGGAAACTTTTTCCTGATAAGAAAGGCCCACTAGTCCTTACTGATAGTCTAACACTGTACACTTTGTTCAAGGATTCCTCAGGTCTACTGTTTGTTTGTACATGGTATGGTATTCTACTTTGCTACATAATTCTCCTCCCTCCATCTCAGTTTTTTTTTTTTTGGGGGGGGAAGGCAGGTGATCCGGTCGTGGGGCCTGAACTCTGGGCCTGGGCGCTGTCCCTCAGCTCTTCAGCTCAAGGCTAATGTGCTACCACTTGAGCCATAGCACCACTTCCGGCTTATTTTTTCTGCTTATGAGGTGCTGAGGAATTGAACCCAGGACCTCATGCATGCAAGGCAAGCGCTCTACCACTGAGCCACCTTCCCAGCCCTTTATCTCGGTTTTGCTTCAGCTAGTCTCCAAGCTTCAGAGGAATATATTATTTCCCAGTATTCTAATGAAAACTTCACCAAAACCACAGACATTTAAGTGTCTTCTAAAATCTCCCTAACTTTCCATGAATAGTGCCCTCTCTACTGCCTCTGCTCCTGAACTCCAGGCTCCTACCATACCTTCCGTCATGCAGAGCTTCCTTATGTTGAAAACCCTTCTTTTAATACTGCTCCATCATTTACCATTTAAATGCCAACTGCACAATGCATACCTTCTTAATTCAGTGTAACCTGGATCCACTACCACCACCATTTTGAAGAATTTCAACAAAAAAGTTAATCAAATATGTTGGCCTTTTATCAATTCTTAATTTCCTTGGCATTTTGGTAACATCTAACAATGTTTTCCACTGAACCCTTCTTGAAATTCCTTTCTCCCTTGAGCTAATAATATCATTGTGCACCCCCCTTCCATCTAATCTCTTCTTACATATTTGGTTATAATATTCAATGTACATATCTGAGCATGGAACCAGGTACTAAGGTTAATGGGTAGGGTTGGATGTGGGAGAACAATAAAAGAGGAGGAACAATTGAAGAAGTGACATTGATCAACGTGTCTTGTACTCACAAATTAAAACTCACAACTACTTAAACATAATAAAAATAAAGAAAGCTACTTGTTTAGGGTCTGGCTTTGTGTTACTCTAGTCCCACATTTCTAACAGCAATTACTACCTGATTGCACTACCATCACTCTACTCCTTGAGAAACCAAACTCACAACTTTTCCTCAACCTACCAATGACTTTCTCATTTATCCTCTTATTTTCTCAATCACTCAGTTATGTTCATTTGTCCTTTCCTCCTTCCTAAAAAAAAAATTTGTGTTGTCTTCCCTCACTTCTTTTCCATCAGTTTCCTTATTTATTTCCATGGATAGTACCCTTGCATAATCCCTCAATGCCTCATTCCACAGTAGAGAAGTCTTTCCCTTCTCTACTTCTCTTGAAGGAGAAATATTACTATTATAATATGGAAAAATCACATGAAAGATAAGATTGCCACCAGGATAAACTGGAGAAAATGCTAGTTCGACCATATTTCTCCTGCTTTTAAAATATAATAAATTGTTCATTGCTTAAAAAACAAAATATAACAAGGCACCAATGGCTCATGCCTGTAATCCTAGATATTGAGGAGGCTGAGATCCAAGGATCATGGTTCTAGCTAACCTGGGCAAACAAGGCTGAGAGATTCTATCTCTAATTAATCAGAGGCATGGCTCAAGTGGTAGAGCTTTCGTTGTGAGTGAAAAAGTCAAAACAGAGCATAAGGCACTGAGTTGCCATCCTGGTTCTGAAACAAAAGTTAAAAAGCATAAAACCCTAATTCGTTTCACAAACAGCCCCTACTATTGAAGTCCAACCTGGGCCCAGCACAAAATATAAAAAGCAAAAAACCCTAATTTGTTTAATGAACAGCCCCTATGATTGAAGTCCAGAATTAGCTAACTATATCGAGCTCACAACTAGCACAGATTTTTTTTTTTTGGTGGGTCATGGGACTTGAACTCTGAGCCTGAGCCTTTCCCTGAACTCTTCAGCTCAAGGCGAGCGGCTCTACCGCTTGAGCCACAGCACCACTTCTGGTTCTCTAGTGGTTTACTGGAGTAAGAGTCTCACAGAGTTTCCTGCCCGGGCTGGCTTTGAACTGTGATCCTCAGATCTCAGCCTCTTGAGTAGCTAGGATTACAAGCGTGAGCCACCCAGTACCTGGCTAGCACAGTCTTATAGCTCTACCTAAGATCTATATTTAAAATGGGTCTTATTCACTACTGTTTCGTAGAATGGGAACTTCTTTGTACAACTACTTAAAGATAAAAATAATAAAAAAGTTTAAAAAAATAAATAAAATAAAATGGGCCTTATTGTAGATTTACAGTTTTGTAGATGGGTAAGCCAAGAGTATTTTTGACCTTTAAAATAGCTGAGAAAGGGGCTGGGAAGGTGGCTCAGTGGTAGAGTGCTTGCCTTGCATGCATGAGGCCCTGGGTTTGATTCCTCAGCACCATAAGCAGAAAAGGCCGGAAGAAGTGGTACTGTGGCTCTAGTGATAGAGCACTAGCCTTGAGCTGAAGAGCTGAGGGACAGGGCCCAGGCCCAGAGTTCAGGCCCCACGACTGAAAAAAAAAAAAAGCTGAGAAAAAATGAAGAGCAATTTTTCCTAATAGTAAAAATAATATGAAATTTGAATTTCATGTCCATATTGTTTGACTATAACACAGTCAAAGCTCATGGGTTCTGGCTATTTTCACTCTCAACAGAGCTGAATAGCTGCAACAGAGATTCTTATAGTTGCAACAGCTGAATATTCTTATTACTAGAGCTGTTGCTAGAAAATTATACAGCTCCACTGACACATGCAATCTAATCTAAAGCTTTACCTATGGAATAGGTAAGGGGCCTCTCCCCGCCCCCCTTTTTTTTTTGGTCATGGGGCTTGAACTCTAGGCCTGGGCGCTGTCCCTCAGCTCTTCAGCTCAAGACTAGCGCTCTACCACTTGAGCCACAGCGACACTTCCCTCCTTGCCCCTTTTAAGAAACAGAAGCCCCATTTGTTCAGAGCTCATATCCTACATCTTCCAGCAAAGATTTCCTTGGACATAATAATTCTCTCTTCTTTTAAATCTTACAAAATCTTTTAAACCACTTATCCTCTATTAGCAAAAACTCTATCTCTCCAACTACATTGCAGATTTTTAGAAATCTACTATGAGTCTGCTTAGAAACAAAAGAAATAAGGTCTGCTTATCATTTTTTTCTGTTCCTCTAGAGTAGTAAACTTAAAGCCCAACACATAGTAGCTATCATTCACTAAAGCTTTGATACTTTTTAAAAAATTATGCTATGATTTAATATTTAATATTTTGAGAGTAACATTTATATGATCAATAAAACTCATAGAACTTTAAACTAGAATGTAAAAGTCAACTGCAAAGTGATTTAAATCTTCAAAATTGAGCAAATTAAAAGGTAACTCAAGAAATAATCTTAAGAAGCATTTTAAAGCCTTGAATCCTGATTTGTATTTTTACCTCAAATTCATTATAACATATGTAACACTTTTTTTCCTTGTCTTTTTGTTTTTAAGGTGCTATGGATCAAACCTACGCCCTCACATATGCTAGGCAGGCACTCTATCCCTGACCTACAGCTTCAGTCCCATTTTTTTTTTTGTCAGTACTAGGGTTTGAATTCAAAGCCTTGCAATTGTTAGGCAGGTGCTCTAGCACTTGAGTCATGCACAACTCCCTGTCCTTTTATGCTTTGGTTATTTTTCTCACATTTTTGCCCAGAGCCTATATCAGATCACAATCCTCTTTTCTATGTTTATCTACCTGGGAATGTAGTCATGCACTACTACGCATGGTTTGTATGTTGAGATGAGGATCTCACTAACATTTTGCCTGGGCTAGTCCCAAATTACTATCTTCCCAATCTCTGACTCACAAGTAGCTGGGTTTATAGGTATGTGCCACCACAACCTGGCCCCACCATTCTTATTATTATTCTTATATTCAATAATAAGACTAATTTTATGTATGCATATGACCTTTTATAAATATGGAAATAGTTTCCATGTCTTATTTGTATATGTATATGTATGTACTCATGCACATATTATATTAGAGCCATATTATTTTTCATTAAGAATATTTTAAGAACAGGGATGTAGCTCAGTGGTAGAGTACTTAATTAGCATGCCCAAGTCCCTGGGTCTGATCCCAGTACCACTATAAAAAGTAAAATCTCAGCCAGATGCAGTGGCACTTACCTGTAATCCTTGCCTCTTGGGAGGTAGAGACAGGAAGATCATGAGTTTGAGACTAAATAGGACAAAGTTAGCAAGACCCTATTTCAAAATCCAAACACAAAACAAAAGGGCTAAGGATATGGCTCAAGAGATAGAACACTTGACTAGCAAACTCAAGACCCTGTGTTCAATCCCCAGTAATGCAAAAAAAAATAAAATAAAAACAGCCAGGCGCTGGTGGCTCACACCTATAATCCTAGCTACTTAGGAGGCTAGGATCTGAAGATCATGGTTCGAGGCTAGCCTGGGCAAGAAAGTCCATGAGACTCTTATTGCCAATTAACCAGCAGGAAACCAAAGTGTCACTGTGGCTCAAAATGGTGAGAATGGTAACCTTGAGCAAAAAAGGCACAGGGATAGTACCCAGGCTCTAAGTTCAAGACCCACAACTGAAAAAATAAATAAATAAAATTTTAAAAAATTAAAAATAAAAAAATTACATATATAGCTTCACAACAAATGTAAATGTAAACTGGCAGTTTTAAGCACCCTTATAAAATCTAAGGAAGAATTACATACTCTCAGAAGTAAATGCTGTTATTTACTTAATTGTTCTCTTAAAATTAAGTTACCTGTTCATAAGGATTTTACCTGTTCATAAAGAAGAAAGGTCTTGTCTCTCTCAGATGTAAGAACCTTGACATTACCCTGAATTTCTGCCAAATGCCGCTCATATTTTTCTAACATGCATTTAAGTTCTTCACGATCTCTTGTGGTATTCTTCAAAAGATCGACATCACAGTTGGTACCCTACAATTATTATTTAACAAATATGAAATTCTTCATTTACATATGGTACTAATAAAAAGCTGCTACTGACAGTTGTATACAATTTCTACTTAACTATGACTATATAATCAAAGGAAATAAAGAAAATAAATAAGAAAAACACCTTCCTTTTATAATCTTCCTTTGCATCCCAAAGTGTTCAAAATTTTTCATTTTCCCCAGCAAATTATACTGAGAATAAAGAACCAATATTGTCCACTATGTCAGCAAAGAGACCTCTTGTCTCTCAAACTCATTAACATAGCAATTCATGCCAAAACAAATGAATAATTTCCAGATTAGGTAAATCAAAGGATAAAAGTCAATGCTTAAGCAACAAATTCTAAAATACTTTTCAGTTTCCAAACCTACCCGGGAAGATGGAGATGGACGTCTTGGACTTTTTGATCTACTTCTGATCATTTTCCTCAAATTTTGAGCTTCACTTTTATAGTAATCTTTGTCTGCTTCTAAAGTCTTGACAAAGGAATCAAGTCTAGAAGGAGATTTATTTTGTGCTTTTTCAGTCTCTAAAATTATCTTTTCAAAGAGGAAAAAATTAGGTCATTATTTCTATGAAAATACAGTATTTTTTTCTTTCTTTTTTTTTTTTGCCGGTCGTGGACCTGAACTCTGGACCTAAGCGCTGTCCCTCAGCTCTTCAGCTCAAGGCGAGCGCTCTACCACTTGAGCCACAGCGCCACTTTTGGCTTTTTCTGTTTATGTGGTGCTGAGGAATCGAACCCAGGGCCTAATGCATGCAAGGCAAGCACTCTACCACTGAGCCACCTTCCCTGCCCCACAGTATTTTTTTCTAAATGAAAACAAAGAGGACCTTTAAAAGTATTAAATTTGGTATTTTACAAATACAAATATTCAGTAATAGTTTTATAAAAATAGTTTTCATTATTCTTGAATGTTTAAATTTGACTAAAAGTAGCCCTCCTAAACTGAGTGCTAGAGGTTCATGTCTATAATCCTAGCTACTCACGGGGCTGAGATCTGAGGCTTGAGGCTTGGAACTGGCCCAGATAGACAAATCTGAGAGACTCTATCTCTAAGAAAAAAGTTTTCTAAATTATTTTTTAGAAAAAAGCTGAAACTTCAGGCATGGTTCAAATGGTAGAATGCCCTAGCCATGAGTATAAGCCAAGTGAGATTGTGAGGTCCTGAGTTCAAACACACACATGTACACCCACACACACATGCACACACCACAATTAAATTCACTTGTTATACAAGCATTCTATCACTTGTGCCATCATGCCCCAGCCCTGAAATAATATTAATAATCTCTAAAGTATTTTGTTCAATAATTGGTCAAATGAATTTAATTGGATCCTAGATATTTCATATTTTCAAGTGCATTCTTATGAACTCCAATTCACTTTAATATGTTTTAAACTATTTTGCTATATTTATTATGCAAATACTTTACAGGAGGAAAATTACATGCTTTCTGATAGATTGTTTAAATGATAAGATTAAAATGTTTAAATAGAAGAGTTTTCATTCCACATTGTTAAATAAATAAAACATATGAAAGCGGGGCTGGGAAGGTGGCTCAGTGGTAGAGCGCTTGCCTTGCATGCATGAGGCCCTGAGTTCCATTCCTCAGCACCACATAAGCAAAAAGAAAAAAAACCCAGAAGTGGCGCTGTGGCTCAAGAGGTAGAGCCCTAGCCTTGAGCTGAAGAGCTGAGGGACAGCGCCCAGGCCCAGAGTTCAGGCCCCACGACAGGACCCAAAAAAAAAAAAAAGAAAAACATATGAAAGCAATAAGGGTGAAAACATGCATATTCATTTTTTGTGGCTGAGTAAAAAGTGATTACTTAACTTATATTTTATGGAAAATGTACTTACAGATCTAAGCCTTTTTATTGTATCTTCTAATACTGTTATATTATTTTGCTGGCAAATGATTTCAATCTGAAAAATGAGAATTAGTTTTTGTTATTTAAATACGCTTCAGTTTAATTGGAAAAAGCATCAAAAAAGAAAGAAACCATTTGACAATAAAAACATGAAGGCTTATAGTATCTAAATTCTATACCATCAAATACAATTACTGTCAATACAAAGTAATAACTCAAAAGAGCCAGCCACCCATGAGTGGCACACGTCTGTAATCCTAGCGGGAGGCTGAGGTCTGAGGAGATCTGAGATCAAGGTTCGAAGCCAGTTCAGGTAGGAAAGTCTGTGAGATTCTTATCTCTGATTAACCAGCAGAAAGCTAAAAGTGTTAGTGTGACTCAAATGATAGGAGTGCCAGCCTTGAGTAAAAAAGCTAAGGAGCAGAGGACAGGTCCTGAGTTCAAGCTCCAGTACTGGTAAAACAAACAAACCAAACAAAACATGAAGGCTGTATAATAAAGAAAAGGTAATCTGCTTTATGCTTTGAGGATAAAAGAACTTAGGATAAAATATGGCAGTTTCTTTATCCAGTATTGTACATAAAATCTCTACAAAATCGTTTCTCATACATTGGACCAAATGTTAATGCTAATTATATTTCTAAAGATGCCAATAAAGAAGCTATTAAAAAATGACTTGAATAGAAGTTTTCCCAAATTGCTCATTTGGAAGAACATGCTTTCTACTCAATAGTATTGTAACAACTTAATTCTATTCCACCCACAACATACTTTTTGTATCACTATTATGAATAACCCAGTACCATAGTTACCCATAGTTATATGTAATATATTTATCTTATGTTTCATTTTATATTCCTAAAGAACAAGGCAAGAAGGCTTTATGCCAAAAAGTTTTTGTTAAAAGTATTTTTAAATTCAATGAATATATTTTTAAATTCATTAATTTTTCTCTCATTATTTTAAACTAAGATTTACTATGGTCTTGCCAATAATGTTTTAAAATTGAACTTTCTAGGATTATCACTTTATTTTATTTACTTATTTTTGCTGCTATACTAAGGATCAAACCCACAACCTTACCCATGCTAGGCAAGCAATAGACCACTAAGCTAGACCCACAAATTTACTTTTTCTTTATTGTTTATTCCAAAGTTCTCTTCTAAGATTTCTCTGGCAGTCACAGTTAAGTTCTTAAAAATAGTAAGGAGTTTTATTGTTTGGAACATAACTTACAGTTTAAGTAAACTGTGTATAGCTTTGAATTATTCATATTCAATGTTAATTTACACTACTATGAAGACACTTTTTAAAAAGACATGGGTTGAGGAACCCAAAGGTATAGCTTTTCTAAACATTTAAAATATTATTTATGGAAATGACCTCTAGGAAGTAGAACCATGAATTTTTTGTTGTTACTGTTGGTAGTGTTTGTTTTGCTTTGGGTTTTTTTCCTTTCTTGTTGGCAGGGATATGAGAGGGAACCTGGGGAGGCGAGTGAAGGAAGGAGTGACATTGTCCGAAAAAACAAATGAACTTATTACCTGACTTATGAAAGGACCCCTCTCGCCAGGCACCCGTGGTGCACACCTGTAATCCTAGCTACTCAGAAGGCTGAGATCTGAGGATTTCAGTTCAAAGTCAGCCCGGGCAGGAAAGTCCATGAGACTCTTATATAACCACCAGAAAACCAGAAGTGGTACTGTGGCTCAAGTGGTAGAATGGTCGCCTTGAGCTGAAGAGCTCAGGGACAGCACCTAGGCCGAGAGTTCAAGCCCCATGACCAAAAAAAAAAAAAAAAAGGACCCCTCTGTATAACAGCTTAATAATTATATTTTTTAAAGACATGGGTCTAGTACAGATACTGTGCAAAGATTTCCATATCTAGCATGATAGTTTTGTGTTTTTGTCTTTTTTTTGTAGTCATGGGGCTTGAACTCTGGACCTGGGTGCTGTCCCTCAGCTTTTCAGCTCAAGGCAAGCACTCTACTATTTGAGCCATAGAACCACTTCTGGTTTTCTGGTGGTTAATTGGAGATAAGAGTCTCATGGACTTTCCTGCCTTGGCTGGCTTTGAACTGAGATCCTTAGCTCTCAGCCTCATGAGTAGCTAGGTACCACCAGCGCCTGGATGTAGCATGATACTTTCTAAATTTATAGAGCCAGGAGCCAGTGGTTCACACTTGTAATCCTAGCTACTCAGGAGACTGAGCTCTGAGGATCATGGTTTGAACCCAGTCTGGGCAGGAAAGCCCTTGAGACTATTATCTTCAGTTAACTAGCAAAAAAAAGCCAGAAGTGGAGTTATGACTTAAGTGGTAGAGTGAAGAGAAAGAGAGAAGAGAAAGAGAAACAGAGAGGAAGGGAGGAAAGGAGGGAGGGAGGGAGGGAGGGAGGGAGAGAGACAGGAGAGGTGAAAAGCACATTACATGTACACATTTCCTAGATACAGATGAAAAATAGTAGTATATAAACAGAAGATAATGTATAGACAGAGCAGATGTGATTGTGGTAAGATGTTATTTTCTGCACTATACTATGTGGAGTAAAATCTATCATCATTATGTGTGGCCCTGAGAATTGAACTAAAAGAATAGGGCAAGCTAAGCAAGCACTCTTACAAACTCAAAGTGGTAGAGCACTAGCCTGCACAAAAGGGCTCAGGGACAGCACCTAGGCCCTGAGTTCAAGTCCCACGACTAATTAAAAAAAAACTTTAAATTTTAGTAAAAAGAAATTAAGAAAACTTTAAAGTATGAAATTTTAGTAAAAAGAAACAAGAAAACTTTAAAGTATGAAATACAGCCAGGTACAGTGGTTCATGCTTGTAACCCTAGCTACTCAGGAAGTAGAAATCAGGAGGATCATAGTTAGAGGCCAGCTGGGCAAAAAGAAAGACTCAAGCTCAACCATTAAGACAAACAAAACGTTATGTGCCTGTGAAACGAACTATATGCTCTCAAATATAGGAGAATCAAGGTCTGAGACCAGCCTCAAACAAAAATGAGACCTTTCCTGAAAAATAACTAAAGCAAAAATGGGCTGGACATATGGCTTTCAGTGGCAGAGACCTATCACAAAAAGTATGAAATTATGTGCATGAAAATAATAAAAGATGGAAATAAACCAGTTTGTAAATATCTAAAGAGAGAATTGGGGAGAGGGCTAACATTCTATTTACAGAACACTGCTGTTGCTTTAAAAAATCTTTAGTATATTTAGAAAACTTCCCAGAAAAAAAAATCTTTAAAGAAATAAAATGTGAGGCTGGGAGCCAGTGGCTCACACCGGTAATCCTAGCTACTCAGGAGGCTGAGATCTGAGGATCACAGTTCAAAACCAGCTTAGGCAGGAAAGTCCCTTGAGACTCTTATCTCCAATAAATCACTCAAAAACCAGAAGTGGTGCTGCAGCTCAAGTGGTAGAGCACTAGCCTTAAGCTGAAGACCTCAGGGAAAGTACCCATGCCCAGAGTTCAAACCCCATGACCACCAAAAAAAAAAAAAAAAGAAAAGAAATAAAATGTGATAAATATAATTCAACCCTTAGTATAGATTTGAGTTATGTCAAACCTAAACAACTTTCAAAGGGCAACAAAATTACAGATATAAAACTTTTTTTTTTTAGTGATAAGTTTAGTACCTTTGCTTCTTCAAGTTCCTTGTTGGCGGAATCCACCACAAAAAATTTCTCTTTTTCTAGTTGCTCTGCTAGTTGGTCGATTTTAATTAACTCATTACAAAGATGCTCATTGTGGTTGGTTAAATCGTCTACTTGACTGCTTACCACCGCCTTACTATCCAAGAGTTTCCTAACATATTCTTCCAAGTCATGATTTGTCTGTTTGAGATCTTCAATCTGTTATCATTGAAAAGAAAATAATCACTTTAAAATATTTCCTTAGCTTCCTTTTGAGGAGAACTACTAGGTGGCTGGTGTCAGAAAGGGAGATTTGCTTCTCTGGAAAGGCGACCTAACTACATAATTTTTTGTACCTTCTGAATTCTGTACCAAGAATACATTATGTATCTGAAAAAAATTAATGAATATTTAAAAGAATTTATTTATTGTGGCATTAGGTATTGATTCAAGAGCATGGTAGTCAAGCATTCTAAGACTGAGTCACATCCCCAACCTTCAAATTTTAGAAAATGTATAGACAATTTCCAATTTATTAAAATGAAATAAATAAAAATAAAAGAGCTGGGCGCAAGTGGCGCATGCCTATAATTCTACCTACTCAGGAAGCTGAGATATGAAGAATGCAGTTCAAAACCAACCCAGCTAGAAAGTCCATGTGACTCTTATCTCTGATTAAACACCAAAAAGCAAGAAATGGAGCTATAGTTCAACTAGTAGAGCACGAGTAAAAAATATCAGGGACAGCACTCAGGCCCCAAGTTCAAGCCCCAGGACAAGCGTATGCACACGAGTGCGGGCACGTGTGTGTGCGCGCACACATATACACACACACACACACACACACACACACACACGCATGCACTCACCATAAAGTCAACTGTGGTGGCACATACCTGTATGTGCCTACCTGTATGAGAGGCAGAAACAATAGGACCATAAGTTCAAGGCCAGTCCAGGCAAAGTTAGATTTTATCTAAGCAAAAGGGCTGAGGTTGTGGCTCAAGTGGTAGAGCCTTTGGCAAGCAAGAGGCCCTGATTTCAATCCCCAGTATCAGGGGAAAGTACTATTATTTTTTAACCAAACTACTCAATAGCCAAATAATATCTCCTATAAAGAAACCACAGCTCTGTGCTGGAAATATGGCTTAGTGGCAGAGTGCTTGCCTACCATGCATGAAGCCCTGAGTTTGATTCCTCAGTAACACATAAGCAGAAAAATCCAGAAATGGTGCTGTGGTTCAAGTGGTAGAGTACTAGCCTCGAGCAAAAGAAGCTCAGGGACATGCCCAGGCCATGAGTTCAAGCCTCCTGAGTGACAAATAAAGAAAAAAAGAAACCACAGTTCTGTAATTAAATGACATTAAAGTTCTTTAGAATTAAATTTTCTTTGAGGGTTTTTGTTTGGGGGGAGGAAGTTACGCTGGTACTGGGGCTTGAATTCAGGGCCTCAAACTGCACTTGCCTTTTTTGCTCAAGATCAGTGCTCTACCACTTGAGACACTTCCTAGAATGAAGTTTGTAGTTACTGTTATCAAAGTACATTAACTCTTTAGAAAAGACCTTTCGAACATAGTAACTTACTTGACTAAGCTAAATATCAACTGAATCAAGTATCTGCTGACTAATGTGGAAGATCACAGCTTTCCTTCCCAACCCACTACCAAACCATCAACAGATGAAGAAAGGGGCCTGTTCTATCACGGAGGTATACAAATGCCTTTAAAGGAAACAAAACAAAACAAAACAAATTAGACCCAATGAACAACAATCATGTCAAGAATAATATTAAATTCTAAAAATTCACAGTTAGGTA